TCATTTATAGAAGGTTGCAACGTTCACACGCACGTTAGGGATCAAGAAGAGGCCTTAACGTCGCAAAACGATGCGAAAAAATCGGGTTTCGGCAATCTGGGTGCCAGGCACGGCGTGCCCGGGGTAGGCACGATCGTGCCTGGCTTGGGGAAACGCCCAGGGTGTCACTGCCTTGGAGGCACGATCGTGTCTGCCTTAGGCACGATCGTGCCTGGGTTGGGAAATCCTGGGGAGCCACTGATTTGGAGGCACGATCGTGTCTGGCTTAGGCACGATCGTGCCTGGTTTGAAGGAACACCTGGGCAGCTACTGCCTTGTAGGCACGATCGTGTCTGCCTTAGGCACGATCGTGCCTGGGTTGGGAACTTCCCTGGGCAGCTACTGACTTGGAGGCACGATCGTGTCTGCCTTAGGCACGATCGTGCCTGGGTCCCAGCCGCCTGAAGTTGCCCGAAATCCCCCGGTTCGACCCCAAAACCTCGTGCAATGATCCTAGCGATTAGTATCCTCAATTTATGGACTAATTAAGGATAAAACACTAGTATATGAGAGGCAATACCTGCGACGGAGTCCGGGTTAGCTTGAGCATCCGCCTCCGTCATCGCATAGACCCTAGCCTGGGTCCTCCCTTGGTTCACGGATGGCGCGTTGCTTGTACTTGCCCCCCTTGTCCCCCGGCTTGCTTGAGAAGCCCCGGTTTGATTCCGTGTACCCGTCGGACCGCTACTCGGTCCCGATGTCCTTGCCCCACTCAATTGTGGACAATGTGCCTTCAAATGCCCGGCATCCCCGCATTGAAAACATCTAGGGGGGTCGCGACATTTACCGGAGTGGTTCTTCTTGCAATTGTTGCAACGAGCTACCACTGAGGTTTGTGACCTCGCGCCTTGCCCACTCGGGCCTTGGTTCCCCCTATATGGTGGCGGTGGTGCCCGGAAAGATCCTCCTCCGTGGTTCCCCTTTTTGTTGGAACCTTGGGAGCCATGACTCTCCCACTTTCTCTTTTTCGCCTCCTCGGCGTCTCTCTTCTTCCTTTCTTCCCATTGCTTCTCTCCTTTCAACCCTTGGTCAACCACTTGGGCAAACGTCATGTTAGGCAATTGTGTTGCCCTGTCACGTATCTCCAAGTCTAGAGCATCCCAGAAGTGGTTCACCATCCGGTTCTCGTCACAAGCATACTCAGGTATGTAATCGGCAAGATCCCTGAACTTGTACTCAAGTTCCCTCACCGTCATGTTACCCCCTTGGGTTAGAAGGGTGTATTCCCTCACTTTCTTGTTCACCTCAAAATCCGAGTAATATTGGGCAAAGAATTCCTGTCGGAAATTCTCCCAAGTGACGGTCTCGCCATATTTGCCTTTGGTCCCATCCCACCACTTGGATGCCATACCTTCAAGCAATCTCACCGCAACCCTTAGTTTATATTCGGGGGTGAGTTGCATGTCCAGGGCTGCCTCATTCAGCCGTTTAATCCATTGTGCCGAAACGGAGATGTCACCCGTCCCATCGAACGGTTTGCACCCCAAGTCTCGTGCCTCTTTGATGTATTTGGAGATCCTTATGATTGGACCCCCATCACCCCGACCCCCATGTGGTTCAATGTGGGCCCTAGAGTCGCCATGGCTTCTCCCTCTTGAAGCACCGCCCGAAGGCTGCCCAGCTCGGCGCCTTCGGCGTTCCCTCCTCTCCTCACGCTCACGGTGGTACTGTTGAAGTAGTGCTTCAATCCGTGCTAAGGAGCCATTTTCCTCCTCATCACTTACATCATCATCATCCCCTTCATAAGGGGTCTCAACCGGTTCAGTTTCCGGTCGATAGGTCGAGTCCTCATAGGACCAGTAGGTTTCACTTTCCGTGTCGACATGACCGTCACTCACGGTCTGTGATCGGCCTCCACGGCCAGCTCCTCTAGATGCCCTAGAGGTCCTTCGACTGCCCTGTCCAGTCTCCACTGGTACATGGCCGGTCGGGTTTCTCCTAGTAATCCTGCCACCACGGTCCATTTCTGAAAGAATTTGGAAAGAGTCGTTAGACTCGTATCAAACGTCAATTGACGGATAGGTACTTAAGACACATTTTGGCTCGAGTCACCGCCATACCAATTGCTAAGGGTACCATCTTAACAATTAGAGACCTTGCAACCCAAGTACCAAAAGCTCTCCAAGTACAAAACTTCTATGCTCATGGTTTTCAAAATCTTTTCAAAAAGAGAATTTTGAGACTTCATTATGAAGTTTATGGACTAAGGCTCTGATACCAACTTAATTGTCACGCCCCGGACCTCCCCGGACACGTCGACAACCCGCCGTACAATACGAATAGTCAACCGCAGTCCAACATTCATATTATACAAGGCGTCATGAATATCATTCACACATAAGTCATCCATAAACAACATAATAAGTAATTCATAAAGCAGCGGAAAACATTGTTTAAAACGAAAGGGCCACACAGGGCTATTCATGAGCACGCAGGCTCTATAATAAAATATCCATGAGCAAATTTATTAATGTTTCAAATAGAATGGAGGAAGCACGAACCAAGTCTTCTCTCCGAGGAATCACTCGATCAACGAGCACAGGATGCAAGCTCTAGCCCCAACCTGAAATGGTGGTGGGACGCCCCCGAAGGGGTCAGTACTCTATACGGCTATAAAGTACTGGTGTGGTAGGCATCTAATAGATATACAACAAGTATTTCAAACACAAGACCCTCAAATAGGGTGATAGTACATTATGATTGTAACCCTAAGTTACCCCGTTTAAAAATATACTTACTTTATATAAAAGTCAAGTAGTCGGCCCGTGGGCCCGTTTTCATTTGGAAATCACCATTCCCAACCCCGTGGCTATAAGCCACGACAACTCCTAGAGTCCAACCCTAGTACATGACATTGTATTCTAGAGCTCGGCTCTACTACATCACCATACAATTCATATACCTCGGGTCAATTTCCTTACCTTGCGTTCTAGAGCTCGGCTCTATTACATCACCACGCAAGTCCTAGAGCTCGGCTCTAGCTATACAATACATAGACTCCAAGTCTACACCTTACATGCATTCTAGAGCTCGGCTCTATTACATCACCATGCATTAAGGTCCAATTCTCAAGCAACCATATGCCTAGAATTGACATATCATTAAACTACTTTGGGTCATCCTTAAAGACTTCCCATAACTTAACCTTAGTTCCAAACTAAGTTATTATATACACTTGAACTATATTCAAGTACCTTTCATACAATCCAATCCCTAGGATCAATTTAATCAACAAGTTCCAATAATCACTAACTAGTATTTCAATGCTATTAAGATTATTGTTATCATACCACTATCCTCATTATTTGTAATTCTCTACATATTTATAATTATGTAGCAGCAACTTAAGTATTCAATCTCAATACACAAATATTCATTTATGTATCCACATAATTCATACATGAGCAAAATGCCCATTTTCACAAAATAGTTCATTTATACTCATTTAATCTCATATTATTCATACCTTCTCAAATCATTTCAAATTTCATTCCTTGGCAACTATATCAATATTTCATCAATATATAATCATCATAATCCATGAAAAATCATGATTTAAGCATTTAGGTAATCTCATGCTTAACCTACAAGTTGTAAGCAATTAGATGTCAATCCTCACCTCAATTGAGCTTTAACTTTCCCTTCTTGGTCCAATGGTCAAAGCTTTGGTCAAGGTGGATTTGGAACTGATTCCTTGCTCAAATATGAGTGTTAAACAGCCTCCTCAAAGTGCTAGTTCAACCCTTAATCGTTGATACGAAAACAGCCCCTAGAATGGGTGTTTCCCGGTCAACTCGTTTCCTAGTTTTTCCAAGATTTGCTCTAGGTTAGTATCTAACCTTTACATCAATAAAATAACTTTATAAGGACATATTATACACTTGGATTAGTGTATGATAGTCCCACCAATCGTTCATATCATTTGGAAAATGAAAAGTAAAGTTTTGGGGTTAAAACTCACTTTTAGAAGATTAAATCCTCTCCTGCGAGGTTGTGTTTTGCTCGGACGATTTGGAAGCCTTCCACAACTCCGATTCCTTCAAACCAGACCTTCACGGATTCCTCGTCTTGAGAGCTTTCTGTGGGTATCTCACACGCCTTAATTGGATTTGTAAAACTCGAGATATCGACCAAACAGTCTCAGCACTCTCACAGCTCGAGTTCACAGACCTCTGCTCGTTCCAGATCGATTTTTGGATGATTGCTCTCTCTAATCGAACAAAGGCCACTCAATTGAGATACTAGACTTCAAAGGCTATCCAAGGACACCTCACTCACCTTATTTGGTCAAGTATAACATCACACATGGAGGGAGACAACCAGCACCATCTTTTTGTGCGAAAATGGACTAGGTGGCCCCTCTTGGATGTCCTTCATGTCTTGTGCAGCTCCCCTTCATTTTTATCCGTCCATTTCTACTCCTAACACTTATTTTCTTTTGTCTTGCAGGTGTCAATGTGTATGGGACGCACCCCTATTGATCCCAAGAGATTTGGGGTCCAAAATATCTATCAATACTTCCAAAAAATGAAAAGATGGACCCTATTATTTTATCTTTGTCAAAAGATGTCTTTTTGTACTCATCCTAATTTATTTAGAACAAGTCAACTTCCAAAGTCACACTATTGATCTCCAATATGTGTAGGCTCATCCCAATAATTTACATGATGAAAATTACAAAAGAATGCGGGTTTGAACAATACAATATTCAATCATGTACTTCGTAAAATATTAATCGTTTCTCCCATTGTTTTGAAATCGGAAATTCAATACATCACTTTTGAATTTTGAAATCGAATTTTCAAGGACGTTCGGGTGCGGTGTCACAGACCTAGTCGTTTGTGCCATAAAAAACTAGATTGTGCATTATCAACCTTTCGCTTAGTGCCTCGGGTGTCAACATTTAAAGCATTATTATATGAAGTTATTGTTTCAAGCATGTAAAGATTGTCATATGACATAAAAGAACGAGTCCCCACAATATTTGAATTCAAAGACAAATTAAACCGGAAGTTTCCAAAGGAACAATGATAACCTAATTTGTCCAAATAAGAAACAGAAACCAAATTCCGCCTAAATGACGGAACAATAAAAGTGTCTTTTAAATCCAAATAGAAACCGGTAGATAATAACAATCTAAAATGCCCAATAGCCTCCACATGTACCGCTTTGCCATCTCCCACATAGACGCATCTTTCAGCATCATTTGGCTTGCGGTGGCTCAGACAACCCTGCATAGAAATACTGATGTTAGATGTTGAACCGGAGTCTAACCACCAAGTATTTCTAGGCACCGAAGCTAAATTGTTTTCAGTACAAACCAAAGCAAGGACCGTACCTTTCTTCACTTTCCATGCGTGATACTTGGTACAATCCTTCTTCATGTGTCCAGACTTCTTACAGAAGAAACAGGTTGTTTCACCTTCCTTATGTTTCATTTGTACTGGACCCTTAGCAGCTTCATTCTTAATGAGAGTTTTCTTCCTCTTTTTACCCTTATCCTTAGAGGTACTAGCCAAGTGAGCACTTTCTGTCTTATTTTGTTTCATCCTCTCTTCCTCTTGCACAATATGAAATGAGCTCATTAAGAGACCACTTCTCCTTTTGGCAGTTATAACTAACCTTAAAAGGATCAAATGCAATAGGAAGAGAGTTCAAGACTATGTGTACGAGAACATCTTCCGATATCTCAATCTTAAGTGTCTTGAGCCTAGAAACAATATAAGACATTTCCATAATATACTCCCTTATATTTCCTTTTCCTGAATACCTTTTGGAAGTAAAGTCTTTTAACAACATGCTTATTTCCGCTTTATCGCTTTTAACAAAACGTTTCTCAATTTCAGTAAGGAAATCCTTGGCATTAGTAACCTCATCGGATACTGCACCCCTAAAAGATTTTGGAATGCCACGCTTTATGATCATAAGACTTAAGCGATTCGAGCGATCCCACTTCTCATAGTACCTTTTTTCATCTTGGGTACTACCATCCGTAAGAGAAGCAGGTTGCTCTACCCTTAATGCTAAGTCAAGATCCATGCAGCCCAAAGTTATTAGAATATTTTCTTTCCATTCCTTAAAGTTAGTACCATTTAGGACAGGGATGGAGTTGAGATTGGCAGATATGCTTGAAAAATTAACTGTAGAAAGAACAAAGAAAATGAACATATGCTTTAGTGAAATTGTAAAAATGATTTTTAACCCATCACAAGATACCAAATGCACCATTAGTATTTCATCTTTGGACAATAATACTAATTGCTAGTGGTACTCTTGTTGTAACAATAAAATATAATAATAATACACATAAAAGAAAAAACCACCTTTGGGTTGACTTTTTCTTTTAAAGTGCAACCTTATAATTGTTATATTTATATTATTACCAGAATGTATATATGTGACTTGATAAAATATTAATCTTCCTTTGGGCCGATTAATATTTACTTGAAATATATACGAAGTGTATACTATGTTTAATATTTTATATGAGCAACTTACACAATAGGATCACTTTGGTGACATATTGTTTCTATATACTCATTTTAAATATTAAACTTCTTTTATTTTACAATTTCATGACTGTTCACAATAAATAAATAAATATTTCCGTAATCTAAAAAAAAACTTGCGGCAATTGACCTTTTATTGAATCAACTTGATTCATTATACTATTTGATTAAAATAATGAAAACGATTTTTTAGAAAATCTAAATTCTACCCTTGAACACAATTCAATACAATTATTATTATGACATAGTGGCAAAATAATGGCCAAAAAAAAATGGTTGCCATGTACTCCGTATATAGCTCATCATTTTCCACCGGAAGAAAAAAAAATTAATTAGCCTTTATGAGCATTTTCATTTGCATATATTTCGTATGCTAAACTTGAGATTTAAACCCACAAGGCCACAAACGTACGGAGTATTACATCAATGATTAAACCCAAAAATCATGCGATCAAAATATTGCAGCGGAAAAGAAAAAAAAACTTCTGACATGAATCGACTCATTCTGACTAATAAGCATATTATCATAATAAAGAAGAACTTTCAGATATCATCAAACCAAAACCCAGACAAAGTGCTTATTTGTCATCCGGTAAAAAAAATTTCATCCGTTAAACAAAAATTAAGGTGCTGAATTATTGATAAAAGCTTGAAAATTCACATATATGAATCCGCAAGAAAATTTCACAAATTGGCACTTTAAATAATACGTAGTAATAACGTACAACATATGATTTCAAATTTTCAATAATATCAAATTTCGGACATCACAAATTAAAACGAATTCCAGACATTACTGATGAACTCATACGTGGATTCAAACAATTTCATGGATCTATAATGGTAGGCTCTGATACCAATTGATGGATATTCATACATATATTAACAAAACTCCATATGCGATATATATATAAATATATAATAGCTAAATCCATATAAATCCATGAAATCAAATATGTATGAACTAAGATCAGAACAATACCTTGAAAATTCATTTGCATTAACACTTTAGGAAGACCCAGAAATCCAAGACCGCTAGTAGGCTAAACCTTCCGATGCAGTGTATCGAATATGAGATGATGATACCTAGTCCTACAATAGATGGGATATATATAGGACTAGTTTCATATTGTAACGGTTGACCCCTTAATATTCTAATAATTCCTTGCAATAATGATATTATTTAGAATAGTTTATTAGGCCATTTTCCGTTACAATATCTTTACTGTTATCTCTTAATTTACATGCACCGGGGGTCATAACCGTTGTATCACTTTAGTATAATATATTTAATTTGACCCGTCACCAAAAAAATATATTATCCTGGTATCTACACTTTTATTATTTCATGAATAGTCACTGTATTATTTATCTGATGGTAAACACATTTTAATTAATTACATATTAGGCCCCTTTTATTGTTTCCAACAAAGCCAATCTTCGTGACTCGGTTGATTTAGTAAGCCTGAAAAACACTAAATCTTCGGTGTTTACTAAACAAATTTAGACTTCATTGTGTATAAATCAAGTGTTGACTTAACATGACTCGAATGACTGAAAAACACTGGAGACACCTAATCAATATGGAATATGTATCGGTCAACCGAGAACACAACTATGAATTTTTGCATAGGGAACCAGTGTCATACAAATCTTCACTGAATTATTTCAGACTTGCTTTTTACTGAGATATAACACCCATGTCGTACGATAGTATTCAAAGAATCCGTATTTTAGGTCTCGTTCACGCCATTTAACACATGGATAGTCCAACACTATCCAAATGGATTTACTCATGGATCTCAAATTGAAAAAAGGGATATATACATTGAAGTCACGTGTAGAAACTTACAAGGGATTAATTAAACATATGTAATTGATACTAGTAAATTGGGAGTAACCCAATTTAACTTCGTATACTGCCTATTTACCCAATTTTCGAGTCGTGTATAGATGTATTTTGTCAAAATTTGTGTATTACAAATTGAGTGTAATTTATAAATTGGGTATTTATAAGAGATAATTATCCTAGGAATGACTAAAACTCAAAGAGTTTCCCAATCTATGACTCAATCAGTTTTTTTCCTAAAATAATATTAAAATTCGAAATATTTAATTAAAATTCGAAATAATTAAATAATAAATAAAATTCAGGACAAAAATACCCTTTAGTTATACCTATAAAACCCTAATCTCCTCCTCATTTTTCTCGGACCCTACCTAGCCGCACACGTATAACTTGCGCAGCCCACCCACGCAACCGCTCCCGTCGGGACTCCGCCTGCCGTCTAACCACCGGCCACAGTCCAGTGCCGCCGCCGGCCATGGATCTCTGGCCTGGGAGCACATCCGCCGCCTTCCAAAGATCGATCGCTGGCCACGGATCGCTCGGCGTCGATCCATCATCCTTTGTCATTGAATCGGTGACTGGAAGGGATATGAAGGGTGGACTTATGACGAGAGATGGCGCTCCAGTCTATGTGTCAAGCAGCAACTTCGACCTTGGTAGCAAAGGAGTGGCGTGCTGTGACTACTTTGGGAGGAGTGAGATTGGGTGAGCAGATTTAGAATTTGATTTGGGGTTTTGGATTACGGCCAAAGCAGACTTTCAGATCTGCAAGTCTGGAGGAATGCCCCTTCACGATTTGTGGAATAAGTTGAATTTGATTTTTGTTTTAAGAGTTTTTTTTTTAATTTTAAATAATTAATTGCTTTTGCTGTTCGCAGAGTGTTTGTTGAAGCACAAATCACATGCATTCTTCTTCTCATTTCTTGAATTTAGGGTTTTTAGACATTGGTAAGATGCATAGGCAGTGAATATGGATTGCAAATATGAGCAGTAAATATGGCAATAAATAGTGATGAAAATAGACAACGAACATCAATGCATAGTGTTGTACATGGGCAGTGAATGAACGCATTGAAAAAAGTGTTGTACAGTGAATTGAATGCAATAAATTTTGGTGGGAAGTGCACTGATTATGATCAGTAGTGCAGCAACACAAAACAGTAATATTTCATGAAATGTAATATACTTAATTAGACGTAAAATAATAAAATTATTAAATCTAAAAAATAAAAAATAAAAACTAAAAATAAATTCCGCAAGTGAATGAGAAGAGAATTAATTTTGGCGGAAGTGCAGTGATTACTATCGTAACACGATTGTCTACTTTTGTCGTGCATTACTGTTGTGCAGTAATGTCGTGCATTACTGTTGTGCAGTAACAACAATACAAAGTACAGTAATTTTAATTAGACAAAATTAGTACAAAATGCACATATTTTAATTAAGGGTATTTTCGTCATTCAATCTTTAAATATAAACGGAATTTCTAATTTTTTTTGAATTTCGGGTCATAAAAAGGTATAAAAACTAGTTAGGTCATAGATTGAGAAACTCATTAAGTTTTAGTCATATCATAGGAAATTTCCCTATTTATAAAATGGGTCACAAAGTGAAACGCATAGCATTGATACACTCGTTTCGACATAAGTGACTCGACTCATCCCCATTTCACTATGATACGAAGTTGATAGTCATATGAGTACATGCCCATCGTACTAATAATTATACACTGGAGATACTTGTAAATCACCGGACAATCCATATTTTGACATGCAACATCTAAATCTTCGTGTTTCTCAATTCAATAGACTTCATTAGGGTCTATTGACTTGATTTACAACTCTCAATGATATGGACATTGTCACAATTAACCCGATTGATGGAAACAATACTAGACGATATGTTGAGTGTAATTCATGGATGATTGTATACCTTCTAAATTGACTGTTATTATGGTCACCAAGATCAATGTTTGACAATGAGTGTCCGTGACATAGTTATCAAACCGAATACACTGATGAGTCAATCTTAGCCAATGATGGTCATACTTACGGCTAGTCAATTGAGACAACCCTGTGTCACTATATTGACAATTAGTGTCTATCAATGGGTAAAATTTGTACACCTGGATTATTGTATTATTAATGTAGTTACTCATGTGGATATTTGTACTTACATACTCGAATGACACTAATGTATCTATTAGTGTACACAAAACATATACATTTTCATCAACTAAACATGTAAACCATTTGATATGATAGGTATATCACAATCTCCAGTGTTCAAATACTTAACATGATGTCAGAAGTTGATTTGATATACCGTTATACAAGAGTCAAAAATACTACCATTATATCTTGATCCCAACATAAGTATATAGACAGTTTCGTTTATACACAATTCCTCCATTTTTGGACTTGAGTAATGGATCAATGTGTAGTATAATGGGTGACTGTATTATTCCAAATTTTCGTGGGACCATATATGTTAATCAATATGTAGTTGCTATCGTATGATGTTAATATATTACTATCATACGTGTATTGGTATTAGGGAACCCATATCTTCACATAAAAAGCTTACGAATTGTCAACTTGTCAGTGTAGAAATTATTGATAACTTGTAATTAGGGTAATGATGCACCATTCATCTTAATAGTGTACCCACAATATGGTGATCATTTCTATTGTAATTCAATCGATATTTGTTGCACTCAAGTTATCAGTTATATTTGAATTAATATATGTCAATATATAACCTGGTATATTAAATCATGTGATTTAATATACCATATGACTTGTTATCCATCGGATACAATATTACACTAGGTTATTCAACCAAGTGATATAACCGAGCATACCGAGTCAATGTACGAGCCATAGGACATTATTCAATGGTAAGCCGATACATTTATAATTAATGATCTTCTAGTGTGTAAATGGTACGGATGATACCATTTATAGATTCATTCGTTATGAACTTACATTTTTGGTTCGAATATTTAAATATGCACAATGATTTTTCAAAGATCACTTTATGACTTATGTTTATCAATTAAGTCAAATACATGAAGTAATTGTAAAAATTCGTAGTGAAATTCAATGGGACTACTCTAATCTGATTGAGATACCAATTCTAATATGTAGGCAAATTTCATAGTCAAGATTAAGCCAATCGATGTTTAAATTCTCAATGTTTTTTGCATTTAGTCTCATTGCAGTCTCCAGTATTTAACATATACAATTTGTTTTTGGACACGATTTACAGTACTGGACAAACATTGCGAATTTTACCAACTTATACATTGGATCCGTCAGGGTACATAGGATGCAAAAATGAGATCAACAATTGGAAAAATGTTGTTTTCCTATTTACTAACAACCGGTTAACATATGTTTTTCATAGTGGATGTATGTTACCTCGAGAGTTGCAAATTTCACCAAGAGGGTTTCAGAACTTATAATGTGATCTCATATATTTTCGAAAATCAAATTATGTATATCATCACATGATGTTGGGTATCCATAATTGTAAGTCATATTTACTCATTATTTGGACTTGAGTCGTGAACGAGAATTGTGTATTTTTGCATAAGGAACCCATGTAATTCAGACTCAGACTCTAAGTACATCATTTACAAGTAAATGATGTACACTCTGAATGAGTCACCCAAAATAAGTGATGAATACAATTCTCATATTGAAAATAATTTCTATTAGTGTAAATCAATCATATTAAATGACGACTATTCGTTGTATACACTGGTATGAAATTTCAATATGAGACAAATTAGTCGATGTGATCATAGGATCACATCGACTAATACTTAGGGAACTAAAAATTTAGTGTCCAATACGATATTATTGGACACTCCATTTTGGATTGAACTAATACTTCAATGGAAACAGTATTAAGAATACCAACCTCGTATTATTATCGTCAAATATATACGAACACGGTTATAATCTGTTGATTAAACACATGATGATCCCATAAATACAATATAATTAATAAGTACCTAGTATACAGACTTGTACATATGTCCAAGCATACTAGTATACCTAGTATACAGACTTGTACATATCCCATTTTGGACTTGTACGACTATTAAACATGAGTAATAAATATGAGTATCAAATTTTCAATTATACTTATCGTAATACCTAATGTCCATACTTATGATATCCTTTAGGACTGTTATTTATCAT